GAAGTTGCTCAAACATCCCATTGATTTTGATAATTTTTTTGTTTGCTATCAGTGTCACGCATTTTCTTTCGTACAAATGATGGTCGCCAGCAAAAACATTTATCGAAAATTAGCGAGATTTTTAGCAACCTCAAACATATACTTTGTTTTACTAAAATTTTATAGACTATTTTTTTTTAGAAACTCTAATGAAGAAGTTTAAAACTTTGATGTAACTTTGTTGAATTTTTATAATTTTTAGATTTATATGGTTTTCGTTTTATAATGAACTTTAATATGATAAAAAATTAATTAGATTAAACGAACAAAAGAAAAATAGTCAAAATCGGTCGTTATCTACAGCTCATTATCTAAAAACCATATAAGTGCAAATTTCAAACTTAAAAGAAAAATTACAAAAAAATTGTAAACCTAACAAGATTTTTATTCAGAATTTTCAGAAAAACTCTAGGTAAATATTAGCTTAATAAAGTGCAAGTTTCAAGTGGCTAATACGTAACACTGTCAGCGAAAAAAAATATCCAAAATCAAAGCAAATTCTTTGCTACATGAAACTTGCACTATATTAAGCTAGAATTTAAAGGGCCATAAAATGCATACTAATAATTTTTCTTCAAATTCTTAATAAAAAGGTTGTTGTAAAATTTTATTGAATCAACTTATTTGTTTTCTCCGTTCCTTGTATACATGCCTCCTATTTATTTTATGAATCCTTTACTTACCAATTCCTTCTCGTCCACATTTTTAATGTTTTCTAAATTTATTAACTCCTCTTCCGTCTCAATAGGAAACAGCTTCCTCCAGTTGTAATTTTCTTTGCGAGATACAAGTTGGCGAAGGCAAATACTAATGGAAGCAAGTTCTCCCATTATCAGTTCGTTCTGCTTATTTATTGTTTCTTCGAGCTTGTCTATTCTAGATTTTAAACCTGAAAGGAGAAACATATAGAATTTATTACAGATTTAAAGATAAATTATTAAGTGAATAAGTTACCGTTAATTTGCTCATCAACTTGTACGAGCGGTTCCGAAGAGTTTTCCGTCACATTTATAGCTTGAAATGCTTTCCTTTTGAAAGTGTTTTTCAACATTGTCTTAAAGCTAAATATAGTTAGTAAATAATTATTAACAATTTATATTTTTTTATAACTATGTAAAAGAGGAATCAGCAAATATCTATTATCTATTGGTAAATACATCATTTTAGATTGTATATTATCTAGCATGAAGATTTCTTTTTTAAGGCTTCTTTCATAAATATCACCTGTACATATACCCAACATATTCAAAGACTGGCAAGGCTCTTCAAAAAAGTTATTTAGGTTTGTGAGAATCACACCTTAGAATCTATTTTCTTCTAAAAAGCTTAGAATTTTAACAACTCCAAAAGGCTTTATACAACACAAATTATCTGGCAATTTTGTGCTTAAGAACATTTTATCATTTTGAAAGCTTAAAATTTTTTCTATTCTGTTTCTTTTGAAGCCAGTAGGAATTGATCTTTGTTTGAGGTCTGTATCGATAAATTTGTTATGCACTTGCTGTAAAATGTTCGAAGGTCTTGGAATACTATTTTTGAGCTGTTGCATAAAATTTTCGAAATCGTAAGCTGTAAAATTTGGAAGAATACCCATATTCTCTACACTCTTTCTCAGGTGAAGCAAATTATGCACATTGAAAGTCACACTGGATTCGCCAAATAAAAAAGGAAAATTTTGTACAAAAAGTTTGAGCATTTCATCAGCAGCATCCAAGTTGAAACTAAAGTTTGTAGGTGTTGAAAGTAATCGATAAGCTACACTAATTAGCAGGTACTGATCCTGTATATAGAACGAATTGTCGAAATTCAGTTGCTTTCCATCTGCGAATTTCATGAACACCTCGAGGTTTTCTCTGAAATTCCCTGGGAATGAATGGACTCATAGCAACCAATTTTGTAGAAATTAAATTTTTTTGAGCAACCCCAAGATTTTCTGTTGTTTTGCCCATTAAAATAGAGACAATAAGCTTTCGTACAACACCAAGATCCAGCAAATGCATAAGCTCAATCGGAAATTGGGTGACCATTTGAATTCCAATCATCTCTAGCTCGCTTTGCTTATTTTGATGAAAGGCTTTATGAAAATCTTTTTTCTTAAATTTCTGAAAAATCCCTATCTGTCCTTAAATCCCCCACGGATGTGCTAAAGACGGTCACATTGTTAATTCTGGTACCTCTTTGATAGCATTTTGCGCATCCAACGAGTGCATTGTGGCCGACAACGTCACACATGAAGGATCGAGCGGGCGCATCGCATATAAATGCCCTTAAGATGACCTCAAAATGTCTGTCATTAATCACGATTCCATTTTCTTGCAACTCCTTCATCTCGAAAATGAAATCATGAAGAAAAGTATCGACATTATATGGCTTTTCTTTACCCAGATAAGACCCTATTAAGAATACTCGAATGCTTTCAATATTTACAAATCTGCCAATTATGGGCCACAAGCTTTGGGCACTGCTTTTAAAAAGTGGTAGTCCATCTACACCCACATCAAAAATAATCTTATTTTCCTTTGCTAAAAGATGATGCGGGATTTTCCTAAGTTGCATTGTTAAACCTAAATGGCAATAGCTGCCCGGTGACACAGTTCTCAATACTAAACTGCAAGGTCTGTTTTTGTTTCTTAAAAGCGTTCTTATATCGATAAGAAACGGCCAAACCCTCCGAGTTAAGTATTTTTAGCAAGGCATTTGCACATGATCGGGTGGGATTATACTCGCGAAGCCACTCAACTAATTTGTTTTGCAAAGCAACTTTACCCTCATCTTCACCTGGTACATCTCCACTAACAGGCATTTCACTAAAGCATAAAGGATTGCATTCAACATTGCTGAATTGCTCCTCAGAAACACACACTGAATCACTGCCTAAAAACTCACTCTGGCACAGGCGCAACTTATTCACAAGTTTTTCTTTCTTAATCTTTCGATTAAGATTTCTTTTGCTGCATCCCCTTTCACACATTGTTAATTACCTCTTTGTTTCAAAATTTTGCATTTTTTTTTTTTTTTTTTTTTTTGAATTCTGTTTGCTTGGCAGGTGACCTTAGCGGAACACACAACACCAGGTTATTCCTCCTTGTTTCATATGCCGTACTAGTAGCGTATTGACAGCATACCTATTGTATGCATAATAAAATTTAAAAATTAAATTTGGCTTTTTGTAAGAAACGAGAGAGTTGAGTAATCTTGGTTAAGTCTTTTTGGATAAAAATCTCCTCAAATGTGCTTGAGTTGTTGACAACAGGGAAACTTGATCTTAAATTATTAAAAAGCGACAGCTGAAGGTTAGGTGCACATAATCATCTATTTGACCACAACGGCATCTTGAATTTCTAACAGCTTGTATTTTGCATAAATATGCATTGTCATAAGTATGTCCTGTAAGGATCCTGTTAAGTGTCTTGATGTCGGACGGGGAAAGCGAAAGCTTTCTAAACCAAGTATGATTTCTTCTAACCGGAAAGATTTTAGCAAATAAATTCGGATTTGAGCGCGAGTAGCTCAGAAATTCAGTGTACCATTGATTATGGATTTCATTTTTGATCTGCTTTAGGCTTCGTCTACAGTGAGATTGACTACTTTGAGTGGACTATCAGCAGTGGCGGCTTTAGCTAATTCATCGGCCTGTTCATTACCATGAATGCCTACATGGCCAGGAGTCCATATGAGGCACACATGTATGTCACCGTGGCTAGTCAATCTTTTGTGTATTCTGTGTGCAATGCTATTCTTTGAGCAAGGATTATTGAGGATATGACAAGCGGCTTGACTATCAGTGAAGACAACAAGGCGCGTGCGATTATCCTGGATTGCAATGTTGACTGCCTCATCAATTGCCAGGAGCTCTCCAAAAGTGGAGGAAGCCCTGAAGCCAATTTGAAAGGAATGCATTTTGTTGGACGTGTGGTCATATACTCCACACCCGGTGTTGTCTTCAGAGATTGAGGCATCTGTGTACATGATATGGAAGCAGCCAGCTTGGTATTCATTTAGAACTGAAAGGTGATGAGCTTTAATACTTTCATTAGACATATCTGATTTTTTCCTAGGGAGACTTTTTATGCAAACTTTCAAGTTGTTGGAAGGGAGGAATCCATCAATCGCATCAACACGATCCAAAAGGTGAGAAAATCTATTGTACACAGAAGAGTAGCTAGAATTTATTGAGGGACCAGACATTAACAAGCGTGTGATGGGGGAACGTATGGAAAAGAGGTTTACCAATTCTTTGGCAGTAAGCCAGACAGATCTTTCCAGCGGCGGGAGCTCGTTGGAGAGGGCATATATTAGAGGA